ACAACTCTTGCCATTTTCCTTTGTTATGAATTATGATTTTTGACACAAAAATATGCCCAATTAATTATTGCTCAAGCTAAAATTTTTGGCTGAACTATGAGTATGACAATTTAAAATGTGATGAGTGGTTAAAATAAAATGATTCAGGACTAAAAAAACTCTAATGAATAGTTACATGTGGATAAATGCCACATGACTATACTTTGAAGATAATTTCACAAAATATATATGTGAGAAATGAACATAAAGAATAAAATGTTTTTTGACACTGGAAGATGTAATTGACAACTATTGATTAAAAAGAAGAAATCTGAACCGTTGTAATTAAAATTATAGAAAGACAATGTGATTATATGTTACAACAAATCCTTTTCCTCAGTAATCTAATGTTTTCCGTCAATATGAATTTTGTTATACCTTAATCCAAATGCTTCTCTGCCCTTAGACGTGCCGTTCTCTCAGCCTGCCATACATTCTAACAGCTCTTATATTTGAGGCATGTGTTGAAGAGTGCATAGAAGGTAAGTGTTACTTATGTTTTTCTCAGATATGTTAACAAATAGTAACCTCACAGGACTAAAGGGAAATAATTTTCCCTTTAGATTTAAATAATAGGGCCAAATAATAGGACCAAATAGGTAATTTAAGCAGTAGAAAAACAATTTTTGGTCTAATAATGTTATTATTCACAAATAACCAACAACTCACTAGTTCACACAATTTTGCCAACATGCCTCAATCTACTAAGTTTATATCAAATATTGTTTGGGGACTATGGATCCCCATTGCAGATCTCTGGCTAATCTAAAAGAGTAGTAAACAAAATCCTAGATTCAAAACCAGAGGAGTTTAGCTCCTAAAATACTCATGATAAATGTAGTTAATTTTTTTTGATCTGTTAGGAACTATCAGTTATTTAGAAAATCAATGACGACTCTGTAATGTAACCCTCTAGTAACATTTGACTATTCAGGCTTTGCTAGGAAGGAGAATAAGACCACAGAGTATTTGGTAACAATGATAAGATCCATCTATAAGCAAAACGATAATTAGGCCAGGGCTCTTTTGAATAACACCAAGGCTTGTTATTGTCTCTGGCAGTAGCTTTCAAACTTTTTTGACCACAACCCACAATAAAAACTACATTTTATGTCATCACTCAGTAAGAAATACACACAAACCCCTAAAATAAAACTTTTATGAAACAATATTTAACATTATATTTGTGGTGTACTCTGATATTTTCTATCGTTCTCTTTTACTCTATTAAATCAAAAGTCCTCATCATAAGCCACTAAATTAATTTCATGACCCATAATGAGCAGTGACCCTTAGCTGTTCTACAAGAAAACCAGAGTTGTAGCTTCTGAAACACATAAGCGTGCGGTCACTCTCTTCCTAGAGTGGAAAGTTCTCTCCTGGTGGGGCTGGAGGGGTGGGAAGGTATGATTTAACAAAGTAATATTTCTTTAGACTTCAACATGCTTAATATTTAAACTAGGAATTTTCATCCTTTTAAGATTTGGGGCAGGTTTTTCGTAACAGTACTTCCTAAATCAATTAAATAAAGTGTCACTTCCCTGTTTAGAACATGTATTTATGCATGAAATATAGTGTACATATAAAACATTTTAATATATTTACTATTATTTATTATTAATTTATTTATTTATTATTTTTTTTTTAAAGATTTTATTTATTTTATTTTTTCCCCCCAAAGCCCCAGTGGATAGTTGT